GGCCTCTTCTGAATCCGGCTTAAACCTCTGGAAGTTCTCTGTCAATGTATGCTTGCAGCTGTTTCTGTATTATATTTAGTAAAACTTTACTCCCATGGGCTATCAAAGATATTGTCTGATGATTTACGTGTTCCATTAGGTTACCTCTCTTTGGAATGGCACAAATATGGGTCTCTTCCAATCAATCGGCCAGATAGTTGTCTTCCAAATTTCTTGGCAAAGATGAGTGAGTGCCTCCTGTGCTGCCTCATTTTCTTGAAAGATTTCAATTTGTATTCCATCAATTCCTGGTGACATTTTCTTTGCCAATTCCTTCAATGCACTTCCTCCTTCATTATCATTGGCTCTTGATCATATGCTATCTCTTGAAACGGTTGAACATTAACCATTTCCTTTTGGTACAGCGACTCTCTGTATTCCTTCCATCTTCTGTTGATGCTTTCTGCATTTTATTCAACAATTTGCCCAGAGAATCTTTCAACAATGAAAGTCAAGGCTTGAATTTTTTCTTCAGTTCCCCGAGCTTAAGAAATGATGAGTGTGTTCTTTCTTTTCGGTTTTCTGATTCCAGATCTTTGCACATTTTGTTGTAATATTTGGCTTTATCTTCTCGAGCTGATCTTTGAAAAAATTTTTTTCAGTTCTTGTACCTCCTAATTTCTTCCATTTGTTTTTGCATCTCTATGCTGGAGAGCAAGTTTCAGCGTCTATTGTGACATCCATTTTGACCTTTTCCTTCTTTCTTATCTTCTCAATGACTTTTTGCTTTCTTCATGTATGATGTTCTTGATGTCATGCCACAATTCTTCTTATCTTCGGTCTTTACTGTTTAGTGTATCAAATCTGTTCTTCAAATGATCTCTAAATTCAGGTGGGATATATTCAAGGCCAGATTTTGGCTCTCATGGACTTGTTTTCATTTTCTTCAGCTTCAGTTTGAATTTACAAATGAGCAATTGATGGTCTGTTCCAAAATCTGCCCCTGGCCTTGTTTTGACTGATGATACGGAGCTTTTCCACAGATATAGTTAATTTGATTTCTATGCATTCCATCTGGTGAGGTCCATGTGTATAGTCCTCTCTTATGCTGTCTAAAGAAGATATTTGAAATGAACAAATCATTGATTTTG